GGGGGGGGGGGGGGGGGGGGTCTACAAAGGGTAAGGGTCTTCGGCGCACCGAATATGACATCCCAGATACCCTTGCAGAATCATTGCAGAACGTTCCAAATGCGGCTGAATGGAGGGGCATCCCCAAATGAGCGGAAGGATACATGCATTCGACTAGAATCGAGGGTGTGCACTGTACTTGTTTTCCTTTAGTGTCCATTCTGCAAGGGTATTGGATATTGGATGGGTCCTTTTCTTGGGGTCTCTTTGGTTACTGCTGAGTTTTTATTCTTGCAATTACTCTGGATACTGGATACTGGTTGCAGTTACTGTTACTGTTACTGGGATTGGGTTACTTTTAACAGTCACTGTGGCACTGTTTACTATGAAATGTTGTCGTTGCATGTCGCGACTTTCACTTACGCTTTCCTTCTATTCCCCTTGGAATCGTACAGTGGATCATAATTGGGCCTACAATTCGGGGTACATATAGGGTATACGGATATATATATATATCAGTGTTGGGTTTTACGAGCTCTCTGCATTTGAATGCACTCAAAACTAGCGATTTCGAATGGGATTTAAGCGAAGACAATGGGAGCGAATGATGATCCCCATTCCACTCGTAGATTCGTTTATATTCATTGATGACTTTGGGTATCTAATTTTGAGTGCATTCTGGCAGATTTCTACTTGCAAAAAGTGTCTGCGTCGGGTGGTGGAGTGTACAAATGGAGAAACCACACACCAATTAACATACGCATCACCCGTAGATCGATGATTAATTTGTCTGATTGTTATTTTGTTTTGCACACTTACGGCTTGGGCAGAATGGTGTTGTTCATGTTGTCCTTCCATTGCAGATCGGCCACCAAGGCTGGCTCGGGCACTGTGGGTCGGCAGGTGAGAATCAGGGACTTGCCCACCGGCTTGCGTTGGACCTCCTGCATCGGCAGAATCTCTAGACTAGGCACCAGATCCGCGTGGCTTAGCTCTGCAAATGTGGAGAGGGAGAGAGAAAAAATAGAAGAGCGAGAGAGAGAGAGAGAGTGTGATTAAAGTGGCAGTTAAAGTGACTGTAAAGTGGGGTAGTGGCCTTTGTGTTTTTTTTCTTCTTCTACGCGAGTATCTGCTCTCTGTGGCTGTGTGGCCTTTTTTCCACAGCTCATTTGCACAGGCGAGTAAATTTAAATTAATTTTAATTGCCTCTCTGCCGCGAACAAAGGCAGGCAGTGGGTGTGGGGGAGTGCTATGGCGCTGTGGCCACACTGTGGGTGGAAGGGGGGGGGGGGGGGGGGGGGGGGGGGG